ATCTAAATGCTTTGAGTTGGAATATATATATATTTAGGCAAAAAAAGAACAAAGATGGAGACACCACCCTTAACATTGTCACCTAAAACCCAACTGATCGTTGATCAAATCATAAGATTCAAGCTCCTATAGAGAACCACAGCCATAATTTGATTTCTCATTTAGCTCTGCCCTGGCCATCAATAATTCAGCTCCTTAAACGATGATGATGATGAAGAGGAAGGAGCAAGGCAGAGGAAGATGAGGAGTCAGCGAGGAAGCAGTGGGCGTGTTCAGTGGAGAGGATGACTCCTTAGCTAGTTCACTCAGCTTTCCCACATGGTCAGGCAGCGATTCACCGGAGAAGCATAGAAAACCACTCACACATAAAAATACTAATAAAGTCATAAATTAGCAAGAGACATTTTTTTCCTTTACTCATTAATGAAGTCTGTTGAACAGGAATGAGCAATCACTGACTGGAGGAACGACTCCTTTAACAACCGTCTAACTTAATTATTGCTTCTAAAAACCAGAATTCATTTCATCGTTCGGCTTTAGGTTATAGCTTTGCACCTCCGCAAAAATCAAACCCTCAATATTAAAACCTTCAACCACCCCCCCTCTACAAATACAGCACATGCTCTGCCCACCATCTCCATGGCAGCAGGGAGAACATGCAGGAGCATATGGCTCATCATTTTCACTCTGCATGCCGAGGCTGGGCTCTCCTGGGGGTATCTACACCTTTCTCATCTCTCTTCTTTGTTCACTACAGTGTTCTTTCATTATCCAGCAAATCATGCTCACTTCTGCTTCATGTATGCAGCCTTTACACAAAACCATGACTACTATTTTAAAAAGAAATTAGAGAAACAGATGAATAACAGGAGGAGCATTAGTCTAATTCTAGGTAACGTTGGGGTTTAGCAGTGCAGCTTCTTGTACGAATGTGAGTTTTACTGAAACTGGGCAAAACCGTTAGTCCGTCTGAAATCTCTGCCCTGTTGAGTCAACAGAGTCTTACTCTCACTGTTTGCTCCTTTTCCCCCTGTTTTAGTGCAGAGCCTCCCTGCAGCTCTGCCAAACCTGGGGACTCAGGCCAAATGCAACTGGGATCAAATGGCTGAAGAGAACCGCAGGGAGCTCCCTCCAAATGTCACAGTTGTTTGAAGCTGGCAGATAGATTCCCTTAGTGCTCACTGCCAACACAAAGGCGCTGAAAGGACCAGATGTGTTTATGTACCTTAATAAAGACCAGGCACAGGAAATTCACAGGAAATAACACAACTGTAAATCTGAATAAATACAGCCGTGTATTTCTATTTCTTTTACATTCTGTTACGATATAAAACACAATGACCACTTAGATATTCAAAGCCTATAGGTGCCTGTGGGTCAATTTTAGAGACTAAAATCGGACCCTCCTCTTCTTTGCAAAAAGAGAGTGTACATTACCAAGGAAAAACACAGACACTGAGTAAAGTTTTTGGCAAACACTGACCTGCTCAGCACGATCATATCCTGCATCTTGTTTCTCCACCTTGACCTGGGGGTGTTCCTTGACCTTCACCTCCCCGGGCTCCAGCTTAGAGACCTTGTCCTTCATTACAGTGTCATCCTTATCCAGTAGATAGCGCAGCAGTGCATTGTCCTTCTTTTTAGGGCTCAGCGGCTCCTGCTTAGGAGTGATTTCTGCCCCAGACACTGTGTTTCCGGCACCCTGTGATTGGTCCTGGCCCAGCTCTTTGCCCATTGCCTCAGCAGTGAGTTTGGGGAGGTCTCCAGGGGATGTACTGTTCTGAAGCAGTTGGTGGAGGATTTTGTGTTTTTCTTTGAGGGACGTGGCGTGAGCGCTCCCGACCGCGTGGCCGCCTCGCGCTCCGGTGCCAGCCTGGTCCTTTCCCTCTCCTCCGGCCCCTGGGGACAGGGGCGTCTCCAGAGGTTCTGGCTTCGTGGTGAGCAACTGCAGTAATTTTGTGTTCCCCTTGTTGTCATGCATACGACTGTGACCGTCGTGACCCTCGAGGGACCCTTCGCGTTCCTCCTTGGCCTCCGTTTGGTTTCTCTCAGCCTGGTTGTGTCCCTGATTCACCTCTGAGTTAGGTCCAAAGTCTCCTGCTCCACCAGAAATACTCGAGGTTCCTCCGAGTTTGGACATCATGTGAGGACTTACCCCCGACCCTGGTGTGACCCCAGCTGGGGAGCCTATCTTCCGGTCTGGGGAGCCTAGCGTATGTGCATGAGAGGGCCCGTGTCCATGCCCTACCCCGTGGCACTCGCTGAGGGCCTGCAGAGCAGAAAGAGAACTGCTAGTGTAGCTGTTAGGATGGGCGCTACCTGTAGTGCTGCCGCCAACACTTCCAGGGCCACCGCCACACATTCCGACAGGAGAGGGCGACTGTAGGCCTCCAGCTACGCGAGGACTGCCCGCGCCACCGGGACTGCCCCTGTGCCTGGGGGACAGCATAGAGTTCTGCTGAGGTGGGTGGGGCCCTCCGGCTGGACTGGGGCTGGCACGAGAGGGGCTGTTCATCCTCCAGTTGGGGCCCTGCTGTGGTGGCTGCATGCCCACAGTGTAGTTAGGGTGCGGCGGCGGACAGCCGAAACGGTAGCCTTGCATATGGCCACCCATGGCCGCCGGTTCTCTGGGACCAGCCGGGCCTGCGGGAGAGAAAGGCGTGCTGTTGCTGCTGATCGTAGTGTCTTGGCCCTGAAGCCCTGAGCCGGGCAAACTGCCTGGGGTTGGTGGAGTCATGGAGGGAGTGGAAGGGTTCATTGGTTTGGGGGCCATCCCTGTTTCCTGATTGCACATGTCCTGACCCATCCCACACACGGACTGCTCCCTAAATAAAACACAAACACACAGTTACTGAAAATATCGCCTCTAAAATACTAAATAACTGTCATCATATTTTATCTAATTTTTCCTCAACAGAAATCGTTCCTGGTTATTGCTTTTACACTTAGCAGTGTCTCCTTCCTGGAAGAAGCCACATAGAGAGCTACTAATGTAATTAACATTTTGTGTCTATACTAGTTCCAGTCCATCTTGTTTAGCCATTTCTTTTTACTCAACAGGTTAACAAAAATCCTTCCAAGATATTGAAGGATAAGAATTAAAATGACAAAACTTCTAAACATAAAATGTCAAACACTTGTAAAGAACTGCATAAAACCTGAAATTGCAGACATTACTTTTGATGTCATAATTCTATTTCTAGATAGAGTCAAGGAAAAAAGTTAGGATCAACTATATTCATAGAAATTTCTACCAACTTGTGTTTTGTATGCAGCTTTGTCTATTTCCTCAGTGAAGAAGCTGTTGCTGCCATTAAGTATTTTTTCATGGAACAAACTCATAGTTTGATCTTTTGCTGAGGGTTTATCCTAATTTAACTTTATTATGTAATATTATGGCCTGAACCTGAATGTATAGGAGTCTGAATATGACAGCATGACTGAAATGCAACTGAATGAACTGATCTGATGTAATTTATGCCCTAACAGATCCTAAACAATTGAACACAAATTTGAGCAGTATGTCTGGTAAAGTGCCAGCTGCTGTGAATTAGATCTCTAGAATAGAATAGGAAATAATTGATTCGTCCCTCCAACCCCTGATCCTAAGAAGATTTTTGATGCATTCCTGCTCCAACACAGCTTATTCCAATGACTGATTTACTTCCTCAGCATACCATCAAGTTAAGCAAAGGTCTGGTTAAGAGCCAGCCATTTGATTTTGCTGATATTTGATCATGACAGTTGAGCTGCTGACAGTGGATCTTAAAACTAGGGTTGCAGACCTCTGCTCAAGGGGGAAATTCAGTGCATCTGCGGCACAGCGACCAACAATTGGAAACAAAGTGAATTAATTTGAATGTACTACATTTGGTCCAGATTAGACACACAGACACAAGCAGTTGTGTCTATAGCAATAATGCTTTGCAGATTAATTGTAATTGAATTAGTCCAAGGCTCAAGCTTAAAATAAGTGTTATCAATTAGGGTGGGGCATCAACAATAGACAGGAATATAGAAACTACCTAATATCAGAGAAGAAGAATCCACAGCATTGTGCGTGACACCATATGTTTGTGCTGCTTAACGTTATACTTTATAGGAAGCTTAAAAATATAATGTTCTCGCCTCAAACGATCCTAAAACATACTTTACATACAAAACAAGAACAACTTTTAATATTCTGAGCTCTGTGAGAGGTCCCCTGGAAGTTCTAGTGCATTCTAGTCCCCTGCCGCCATGCATGCTGGGAGAAATGCACACGCCTACTCTGATGCATGCTTGGTAAAGAGGGAGAGCGAGAACAACATCCGGGGACTTTGTCCATTCTCTGTTTTGTTTTCTTGTAAATTGGAGCATTTCTAGGGCTGAGGCCGATGACAACGTAAAGTACACATATTGAGAAACGGCCTAGGTCATCCAGACTTGCTAATTTATAACGTACACTTTTATGAATCATTGTCTTAAAAAATTCTGAATCGAGAATCAGTGCCAAGTGGAAGCAAAACAAGGAACCTAGTGACAAATTAATTGCATTTCGATTGAAAAAATGTCACTAGCTCAGCTATCTGATGAGCCCGATTAAAGATCTTTACCTCTTCACATATAAATGAAAGCAAAAACATGTCGGTTAATGAAAAGGAGACATACCTCTGTAGAAGATGCAGGGACATGTAGAGCTGGGGTTCGTTGGTGGCAGGTGAGCGCAGCAGTTTACTCTTTGTTTGGGCAGAAACTATGGTTCCGTCAGAAAGGGAGAATCGGTAGATGGGACTGAATGCTTGACCTAGGCGGAGCACTGCAGACACGGCAGGATTGGGCAAAGAAAACATTTGATTTAAAAAAAAATGTGCTTATTGAGGTACTGAAATAATGATTACTTAAATCATCTAAGGTGATGGTTTTTGATTTATTTTTGTCAACTTTTTCCCCATTTTGTAACATTACAAATGTATTTGAATGATTTGATTTGTCAAAGAGAACCACAAATTTCTGCACAATTGTGTGGGAGAAAGAAAGAGATCATTTTGACATTTACTTTCTAAAATCAAAGGCAGAAGACACTGTTGGTACAGTAATAAAAATAAAAACGGCGTGGAACAAATTTCAGATTTATTCTTTATTTTCAAGCAACATATTTTCCTTCAATTTACCAATCATGCTGTACTTTATACTGGTCTATCTGCAAAGCAAGAGAGGAATTACAGGTTCTTTCTAATTTTAAAGATGTCCAAAGTAATTACCTTCTTGTTGATGTCTCTTGGCAAAAGACATCTCCCCGTCGTTCTGTAGATGGAACCTCTGGATGCAGCGCCTGACGAGATCCTCCCAGCCCGGTTTCATGGACGCTCGCAGTAGACTCGTGTCCAAGGACGTAATCTTACCTAATCACAAAAGGACAAGCGTATGCAATTTGCTGACATATGCATCTATAAATGTCTATGCCCGTTTGAACTACCACCTTGTTTAACAAGAGCATCTAGGATATTTGTGTTGATGCAACTCATCACTCATGGCGTTTTTATCACTAGCCACTCGAGCAGGTGCAATTTAAAATCATTTTAAGGATTGACAAACTCTTTCCAGCTTGACTGAGGCCAACCTGTCAGCCTATAACAGGAGCCGTTTATTGCCATACATCATATTAAACAACCACTAAGGGGATGAAAGACACCACAATGGGGTGTATAGTAGCTTCTTTCATCTAAGCAGGAAAAACGCTAAGCTATGTATCTTGAATTCCACAAATGATGGTAATTGTCATCTGTGTTGCACTAAAGGAGAGCTCAGTAAGTAGAGGCTTACATTGATGCACACTTACTGAAGCCTGGGTGGGAAACTACAGGAAATTACTATATGTCGCCAACTAACCATGAGTGTGTGTTTTTTGTGATGTGGTTGTGGGTGTGCATACCACACAAACAGCGTAAGCACATCAGAGGCCAGGTGATACACCAGTTTTGTTTTGTTTGTTTTTTTACCTCCCAGAGAGCAGACAAGAGGTTTAACTATCTGGTTCAATCAGGAGGGGCCTTTCCAAACAGTGGAATAGAGATTTTGAATTAGAGGCTCTTTGGAGCGGAAATTTCTTTAATCTGAAATCTCTTTTTCTTTCCGTTCAGACTAATATGTTAAAGATAATAGTTAAGGTTCAGATTTAGAGCTCTATGCATTAGCTTTTAGCTGCTGTATGTCCGGTCGTTTCTTGTACCTTGCAGGTCCTGTCGAGTAGTGAAGCTCTCGTGCGTGGGAGGCATGGGTCTTTCCTTCGTTGGGACCCTCCGAGCCACGCAGATCAGGCACGACTGGAAGTCTAAGCAGAAAGAAGAGTGAGTGAACATAGGAAACAAAAGACGACTTGGAGGTTGGAACAAAGAGGACGAGGGTAAGACAGCTGAGATGAAGAGGGAGTGAGAGGGGAGGACAGGGGGGCGTAAAGGATAGCGACAGAGGGAGGGAGCGATAATGAAATGCATGTTATTCCCAGGCAGCATAATTAATACAGTTATTAATGAGCATGGGGATCAGGGCGCCTTTAGAGAGGAACAGCTATTGCTGGTGAGGGAAATGATGTAGTGTGACCTTTTAAAGGTGTGTGTGTTCAAGTGTTTGCGTCTGTGTCGCTGCCTGGTTCTAACTGACGTCCAATCACACATTCATCACACCTCCTCCGGCCCAACATGGCTCAGTAATGATAATCGTCTGCAGCACATGTAGAAATGACTTTGTCAATTCAACCACTTGAGTGACCCCCCAAAACATGTCTGCCATCCAATAATATCCATAATCCCACATGTTCCCCACAGAGATAGATGAGTGGAAAAGGCAGTCATACATGTATGTAGGGAGCCTTGTGGGAGGTCTGGCCATAAATGTTTATCTCCATTGACTTTACCCAACTTCCTTCTTTCTGTGTCTGTCTGTGGCTGGAGTGATTCCCACAGCTAAAACCACTGATTGGGCCCTGACACAAAATGGCTCGCAAACCTTCAGGTCGAGTTGTTCTAAGTCTGTTTGCCAGAATACAGCTTGCAAAAGCTGATGATTAAAAGGCACAACAGAAGAACCTCAACATTTCCTTTAACAGTATAACAGCGGCTTCTCTGGTCTTTTTTTCCCCCTTCTAATGCACTTTTCTCTTTTACTCTGGCTCTGAGCTCGCCTGGCTGTGGATCTCCTGGACGGGGTCACATGTGGAGCTAGGGAAAGGGAGGGGTGGACTAGTGGGTAGGGCGTTGAACTTGGGTCCCAGAGCTACTCCCACAGACGGCCACTCTGGGTCCCTGAGCAAGACCTTTAACCCCCACACTGCTCCCTTGGGGCCGCACAATGGCAGCCCAAAGTTCCCCAAGGGGATGGGTTAAATGCGGAGAGTTCATTTCTTACTTACGTATGTTTTACTTGTGCCAGTGTAACGAGAATAAAGTTCTATTCTATTCTATTTTGTTTAGCTCCCTCTTCTTGTATGTCTGTGTTTATCTAATTTAACCCAGAAGGTCGTTCACACTAAGCCTGGTTCTGCCCCATGCTCTGTCGACGACAAAATGCAAGCGAAAATCATCGCTCCAAGCTCATCCTTGTCTTGCAAATCATTGACTCTATAAAATCAACTAGATTTCATTGACAGAAGCTTTTACCCAGTCTGACTGTAAAGCATCTAAAGATGACATATTGTGAATTGGCGCTGTAGAAATAAACTGAATTGAACTGAAACTTTGGAAAGTGTTGGCCAATTTATTTTGTCTTTATCAGCTCCTCCTATGTGGATATCTTTTAAAGATATTAATGGTACTTTATCTCCTGAACTGCAAAGATGATCTCAGGGTGCAAGATTCAAATCAAAGAGTAACATGATCAAATCTGCCTTTGTTTATCGTGCAATAGAAGTAGAAGAATCTGAGGAACTGAATTTACTGTGCAAATCTAACTTGACTAAAGATCTACTTGAAACTTTGTGTTTTCCAGAGGGATTTGTAGCATTTTGCATGACATTTTCCCTTCTGTTTATAAGGAACTAAGGGCCTGATCTTCAGAGGTTTTGTGCATCTTAAAACGGGTGCAAACATGTCTGCACACGCAAAGCAGGTCTTCAAGGACAGCGTGTGCAAACCATTTACTGCACATTTGTCTTCAATATAGAGATCATATTCTAATGACCAAAGCTCACAAATTTATTGGAGGATATGCAAAGGTCAACATTTGTACTGTGCAAAGTGATTTTCCAAATCAGACGCTCAACTGTGTTGCGTGTTTTTTGGTACATTTGAAAGCGAGTTGCAAAGTGACATGCAAAAATATATGCAGTTCTGATGATAAGAGGAGGCATTGGTACAACATTAAGACAGATTCTGGACGCCTGTAAACATATTTGGACTGTCAAAAATAACAATAGTAGAGTAATAATAATAAAAAAGAGATCTATAAGCCAGGTCAAATTAATATAGTGCAACGGCTGAAAATCTTTATACAATTAAACAAAATCATTATGGCATGATTATGAAAAACATTAGATGAGCCTCCAAACAGACATGTAGAGGGGTACGAACTCTGCAACATTTTGCAACTTCTTTTACTATAGTTAATAAAGCACTTAAATATTTTGTAGGCTTTTATGAATTTTTTTTTTCTAATTATTATTTTCTCCATCTCAATGGCTTTACACCTTAATGGCCACTCTCAAACTTCCTACACACACTCTGCTATTTTTGGGGGGCGGAAGAACTAAATTGGTTTAGATCTTAACATTTTGCGATCTTTGTAGATCACCCACTCATAACATGTACTAAAAAGAAATTGCACTTCAATTTAGCGTCTCTTGATTGGAATCTTTGAAGGTCAGCCCCTGTACGGCTGCTCTTCCTGAATGGAGAGCAATCATTGCACTGTGGAAGAACCGGACCCATGCTACTACCTTTCCTTATGACATGCAGTTCATGAGGGAAAAAAAATGAGGATGAACACAATGGAAAGATCCCCAGTCTCATTGATTAGTTCGGAGGATCAGAAATGTTTTGAACTTTGAAGGGCCCTTGGTAATAATACAAGACAACATAAACCTTTTCAAATAGTCGAGGAATTTAAATTAAAATCTAGCGATCTTTCTTAGAAACCTAAAACTGGGTAATCACTAGCTGTTTTAACCAATGAAAAAAAAGATGCAAAACACAAGGCTAAATTAATGCAGAAATGCAAGAAAATTCTTCAAGACATCCGGACATAGATCCCTCTCTAATTGGTCCAACTTTATTAAATAGGTTTTATCAAAAAATATATAAACTACTGAGAAAAACATAAAATTTAAGCAGTGGTTTTATTAGAAAAAGTTTTCTTTGATAAAAATTCCCCCCACCAATTAAATGTACTTTACAGGCTGGACTTGAAATATGTCCATTGTATAATTTTGCTACTGCAAAAAAAGAAAATATCTGAAGGCTTTATATATGCAATAAGGATTACCAACTTGTTACCTGAGGTAAACAGATTTGCTGACGATGCAACTCCACACTCATTTTTAGAAATGTAGAAACAAGCACCCATAGCTATCGTCCTTAACGTAAACCAGTAAATGTACTAGAAATGTAGTCATATGTTAAATTGATACCCTAAATGTAAAACACTCATATGGTTTCAAGGTTGTCTTATAAGGTCACTTCTTTAGTTTCAACTGATCCTCCAACCTGTCTCCATCCCCCACCTCCCTCCCTGCTTCCATACCGTCTCCTTCCTCCTTGATGGACTTGGGTTCTGACACTGCAAAACACTGCATGGTCTCATATTTCTGCTGCTGGGGCTCGTGCGACTCGTCCTGGTTCTCGCTGTGCAGGTTCACCAGCATGCGGCAGTTGAACGTGTGGCTGTTCCTCCTCGGACCCTCATTGGACCACGGCACGCCGTTGACTGCAGGAGAGAGGGGAGCAAAGGAGATTTACAATCTGAAAGGGGCCACGGTTTCCTCTGACTGAAAGTGAACAGTGAAATATGAAGTATGCAAAGAGAGAGTCGAGAGGAGGCGAGTGCTCTGCATGTGGAAGACATAATGAGAGCAACATAGGGAGAACGCAAGCAGAGGAAGTGCAAAAAGAGGCGAGCTGTTGCTGGGTAGAGATCAGTTTTAATGAGCAGTTGGAACCCTGAGCCATCCGTCCACAGCAATGCATCACAGCCAGGCTTTCATATGCATGTCCTCCCAAAACATCCCTGCCCAGCTTTTTTTCTTCTGTCCAACTCCTACACAGGGACGAAATAACTCACACGGGCACACACATGAGAAGTAAGATTAAAAGACATGTATGGCCAACTCATTTCTTTCTAGCAAACTCCCATCACACTCCATCTGGTTTGTGATCTCATTCAGAGCATTGATAATCTCCCAGTAACTGGGACACAGCCCAGTGATCATTTACAGGGTACTCTGCTCTGTGCAGCTCTCCCACCCAGATGGCTGGATACTCAGACCTCAATCCGGAGCACCAGCAGAGGAGAACTCAGAGCTCCTAATGAGACATTACCTTGTGAGAAGTAAAGCTGTATTGAGGTTAATTTGAGGCAAAGATAATTAGAAAATGTCTAAACTATGGTTAGCTTTGCAAAAACTGCTGCAATGTTTACATTAGAAAAGCACAAAACAAGATTTTAATGAGTGGGCTGGAGAACATGAAAGTGAGAACAAGAAAATAGGAACTATCAGGGTGTGTGTTAGAGAATGAGAGAAAAAAGCATTAAAAAAATCTAGAGAAGGGGAAGGAAGGGCACAAAATGAGAATGTAGGAAGAGCCTGATGCTGCTGACAGGAGAGAAAGCCAAAAAAAGGAAGTTAATTAGCTGAAAAGCGAGGGAGGATGAGGAGAAGAGAGAGGAAAAAGTCTGGGCCGTGCATCAGCGAAAGAGAAAAAGAACCTTTAGGATCTTCGCACTTTGCTAAATCTTTCTCTGGCCAACTTTCAAACATAGATGGACTACAATAAACCTTATCATTAAAGTGAAATTGCTAATAAAAACAACCCAAGGTGATGAAAGATAGAAGATCCAAACACAGCATTTGTTGGCAGGGAAAATAAGCTTGGGGCTGACCTAGGGATTTAGGCAGCAGGTTCTTGATGAACTCGGCGTGATCTCCAACATGCAGCACGCTGTAAACGCTGGTGTTCATCAGCTCCTCCTGGTTGTAGCGCAGGTACTGGGTCACGTTCTCAGACACAAATACGATGTTACCCTCCATGTTCACCACAAAGAAGAAGCCATCAAGGGCCTGGAGGAGGAAAAAAGGGTTTGTTAATAAGGTTCCTCCACAAAAAAACTTCACACACAATGATAAACCTGCTGTTAGGGCAGTTATCACCATCACTCTGTTAACAACCCTACAGTCGGTAGCCTGAAAGAGCTATATAGTTTATAAATTAAGCTTTTATCACTCAGGGATTTATTAATAGATTTAGGTTCGGATCTATTGTATTTACAGCTTTATTATCATTTAAAGCATGAAAGCCAATCAAAACAGCTGATTCTTTCTACATACTGTGTAAAATCTGTATCTGCAGCCTATTTTTAAGGGCCAGGAAGGTACTTTTATTGGTATTGATACAGCACTGTTTATTCACAGTAAAAGAAGCATAAAAAAGACTATATATATATATATA